AATGCACCAGGAAAATCCCTTATTTTCCTATTAGTTGTTTGGTTTGTATACAGGAAAAACCCTTATTTCCCTAGCATAACTGGCAGTCTCTAAGACCGAAAATCGTAAGCAACCGATGTTCTTAAAAGTTGTGTCATAGTTTTACATAATAAAGCTATACAAAGATCGCATTTGTTAGATGAAGAATAGTTTTAATAGCTACTCGTTCACAAAAGCATAATACCATAATAATTGTATATCCGATGAGTTTTATAACCATACTAAACATAATATGCCTATAGCGACGTTCTTCAGGTGTCGCAGCGTTATGACAACTGTCACCCCAAAGGACGGACTGTAGCTAACAGTCAGGGTGCGGGATCATGACTTCTCGTATAGATCTATACACATTTGACACGTTCTCCTAACGGGTGATTCTGGTTATAGACAGGACTTGCGGCATTACTTTCTAATAAGAAAGTAGTGTTTGAAGATATACACGTCTCATGGATTCTCAACTAAGTCTGTATTAAAGTGATAGCTTTGTATGCAAAGTTTATCCTTTTTCACAATGTTTGACAAAGCATAAATCATAAGTTTTTAGAATGTATAAAACGATTTAGCAACGAAAGGTACTTTAATATCACTATATACTTTGTATAAGTCTAATGCACACAAAGTATGACAAGAGTTTTCCATAGTAGTAAGGAATTACAAGTGATTTATTCGATAAAAACAAGTGAAGTGAAACTTTATAAAACATACGATAATAACCGTATGTTTACTTGTATTCCCCTCCCCCCCCCCCTTATAGAGTATAAAAGCATTTAAAATGTATTTAAAGCGTGTTTGAAAGGGGTATGAACTCACTTGATTGAAGTGGTTGATTTGAAGTAGTCGGGAGAAGAATCGAGCCGAACTTCGACAGGAAGAGTTGAAAACGGGGACAAATCTCGGGATTCTAGGGAATCTCGAGAACACAAATCCTTCCTTCGGGACTTGAAGGTGAAAACCGGGGCCTCGGGAAGGCGTCGGGAGGGCTTCGGGAGCTTAACCGCAGAGTTTCAGCACGAGGGATGGAAGAATGGAGCACCTAAACCCGACACCCCAATAGTTCTATTTATAGGGGCATTTCTAGTGTGCCACGTCGTGGGGAGCAAGCCTCATCCTATTCTGTTGATTGGACGCTCTTAGTCACTTGCCGGGTCGCGGCCAAGCTGTGCCACGTCGTGGGTGCCTGACAACCTCAGATTTTGGACCCTGAACTTGTAAAATCCGTAAATTTCGCATACGAGCTCCGTTTTCGATGTTCTTTATATGCATGCGTAGCTGAAAATGTTATCTACAACTCTCGTTTAGACTTAATCGGAAAATTTTGAATTTATTTTGAATTATTTATTTTTAAAATGACGTGATTAAGGAATTTCTTTAAAAATTCATAACTTTTTCATACGATGTCCTATTTGAGCGTTCTTTTTGTGAACGTTTGTAGTTTAGCGATATCTATGACTTTCATTTAGACACCTAAGGTCAAAAAGTGTTTTATTGAAACTTTGCGTTTTTACGTAACTTCGTATCGCCAGTTTTTGTCGGAAAACTTAGAATGGTCATAACTTCTTCGTTATAACTCGGATTTTTGTGTTAGTTATATGTTTGGAAAACTTAAGATGATATTTACTACATAGCGTACTCCAAACAGAGCTTTTGAATACTTCATTTTTCGATGATATTCTAATCCTTTTTTCAAAGAGGTTACAAGACTCGATCTTTGATGACTTGAAATGACGGGTTGTTACAAAAATAAATAATTTTTTGGGTCTATATATCATTAAAGCAGAGAAGGCATTTTCATCAATCAAGAAAAATATACAAAGAATTTGCTCAAAAAATTTTGTATGACAAACACCACGATGTTAAGACTACCAATGGCAGTTGGGACACGGCTAACCCCTTCGTTAGATAAACCACTTGTTGATCTCACTTTGTACAGGAGAATGATTGGTTCATTACTTTATCTAACTACTAGTCGACTTGATATCGTGTTTTCTGTTTGTAATTGTGCTAGGTATAAGATAATTCAAGAGAACCACATTTGATAGTTGTGAAAAATATATTTCGGTATCTTAAAGGATCAATTTCGTTAGGATTGTGGTATCCTTAGAAATCATGATGTTTTATTCAAGCATTTTCAGATTCAGATCTGGGAGGGTGTAAACTTGATCGAAAAAGTATAGTGGCGGATGTGAATTGTTAGATGGAATACTTGTAAGTTGGCAGTCGAAAAAGCAAACTCGTGTTGCAATTTCTATTGTTGAAGCAGAGTATGTAGCAGCTGCTGCTTGCACTTCACAAATTATATGGATTGAAATTCAATTATGTGATTATGCTATTAATATGAAAAAGATTCCATTGCGTTGTGATTCGCAAAGTCTAATTCTCATTTCTCATAATCCAGTACAACATTCAAAAACCATGCATATTACTCTTCGTTATCATTTCATAAAAGATCATGTAGAAGATGGAAATATTGAAGTTCATTTTGTAAAGAGAACTGATCAGCTTGTTGATATCTTTACAAAAACTTTGGAAGAAAAATCATTTGTTAGAATTTTGACAGGATTAGGAATGATCGACGGGGGTTATGTTCATAAAAATGATTCAAAGTAATGAAGAAAATGTACATCTATCAAAGTCAAAGGTTACTGTTCATAGTCAATGCTTCGATACGCTTCGATTTCGACAGTTTGGAGTATAGCTGAAATGAACAACATTCGCAAGTTTGGTATTTTCTTTATCTTTCCGAAATATCAAAACTCAAAAAGATTTTACTTTTATTTTGTTTTTATATTTTCGAAACAGTAAAAACAGAAAAAAGATTTTATTTTTTGTTGTGTACTTTTATTTTCAAAAATTAAAAAACCCAAAAAGATTTTACTTTTGTTGAGTATTTTCATTTTCTAAAAATCAAAACGTCAAAAATATTTTTTGGTCTCATATTGTTTTCCAAGTTGTTTATTTTAGATTTCCATGATGATTCTTATTGGTTTAAGCTTGCAGTTCTAGGGTCATGTATTCTTTCGAAAACTTTGAGGTAGTTCTTATCCCAAGAAGCATGTTGCAGCATGTCGACTCAAGCCTCTATTGACTCAATGTATGTATGTCCAAAACATTTTTGATGAAACCAGTCAAGATGACATATGTGTGTACAATTCGATCCATAAAACAATCTTTTTCATCTCAAATTTCCAACACAATCACACACAATGACATATGTCCAAAACATCTTTTATCAAACAAGTCAAGATTTAGACATATCAAAACTCTGTGTTCATGATCTGGATTCATGAAACTGTGATGAAAGTGAAACCCATTTCCAAATCTTTTAAGGAATTGATGGGGAACTATGTTCCAGATTTTCATGAAACATTTGTTTCAGTACCACGATTTCGGTACTCAAAATCATATTCTTTCGATTTTTTGAGATCTTGATCAAATGTTATTAACCCATGACATTTGTTTCCCAGCTAGATCCAGCTTAATATTTGTTTTACGAATATGATTTGAGTGTGAGTATTAATTCTTATCTTTTGTGACTTCAAAAATCATCCAATCCTACTTGTCACTGACTACACTGGTCAAACAAGTAATTTCAGTTACACTTACTCAAATTTATGTTACGTGTTGATATGTAACGAAATTTTAAACCACCCAAAGAGCTTATTTAAAAGAGGCCTTTCGATACTTATCTAAAGCATTCGATTGTAATTCACAAGAAACCACACAATATGTTGATCATCTCTCTTGATGATTAATGAAGCAACGTTTGCCTGGGGTTTATCTGCAATTATGTCAAACGTGTATGTTTTAACATCATAGATCCAAATTTTAGTTTGTTTTCTTCTTATCCCACTCTTTACACACTTCCCTCACAAAACCCTTGAGGTTCTGAGTATTACCAACTCAGACTGATGATTTCGACCGTCTGGCATATGACTTCGCTTTTTATCGCAAAAGTGAAAGAGCCTTACTTCCATACCGAAGGTTTGTGACGTTTACTATTCTCTTGGGGTGTACAAACAGGCTGCTTGACAAGATGGTTTGTATACTTTCCGGGTGTCAAGGAGATGTGATGGTTACTTTTTCATATGTGGCTAATTTATCAGCGACAGGGAGCAATTTTCATGGCGCCATGTCAGATCTCATTTAATGCTGATCCTGCTTCACATTCAAATTCAAGAGTTACATATAAAAGGGGATCAAAGGGTTCTTCGGTTATACTTTCAAAAGAAATTTACCAAAGGAAGAATGGAAGATTATGGTCGGAGTGTTGGATTGGACAAAGGAAGAATGGAAGATTATGTTATGGTTGCAGGAATTTATTATGATCTTGCAGTGGATATTTAAATCAAATGTGGAAAGAGTTTCCGAAGAGTGTTGAGAATACCAATGTTGTCCAAGGGATTTCTTGTGCTAGTTATTGGAGCTTAATTGTTTGATACATGTATGAAAAAGAAGGGATTAGGGTGTCTGCTGATGAAAATATCATTGAGTTTTTAAAGTATAATTTTGCAAAGAAGGATAAAGATGATGCAAAAGTGTTTCCAAATGTTTCATGACTTCCAGATGCTATGGTCAAGCGTGTTGATCCAACTAGTCATGTATTGATTACATATTTGACTTCGATTAATCCAGATGAAGTAACTAGTGTTTTGTTGGCTAAACCAGATGCAGAGTCTTCAAAGAAATCTCGAAGACCTAAGAAGGCTGAGAAGTCGACTACTACTACAACTGAGGTTGTTGAGACTGTAGTTGTTGAAACTCATACAAAGAATATTCCTTCTATGTATGGAGTCCTTAAACGGATTATGTAGAAAGCTCATCCTTCTCGAAAGTATCCTGAAAGGTCTTAAAGTTTTTCACCTTCATTCACTCACAAGCCTCATGTTACTCAAAAAGGAGTTATTATTCGCGAAGTTCAAGCTCATGTGTCCCCATTATCAAAGATGAGAAAAGGTACAAATATGGAAAATCATATTTTAGAGAAGATTAAAAAGCGAAAGTTGGTCTTTCAAAAGGCATCTTCCGAAGATGTAGCAGTTCCTGAAACTCCTGAAGCAGTTATTTCAACACATCTTTTAACTCCTAAACAAACTCCAATTATTCCACTCAAGGTTTCGTTAACCATTTCATCTCATGAGGAGGTTCGAACCTCAGACATATTTACACACGTATGTGATGCGGTTGTAAATGTCACTATGGGTGAAGGAGAGTTAAATAAAGCACATCCAATTATCACTCAAGGTATTATCGACAACACTACTATCAATACCCTTGTTTCATTACCACCATTAATCATTCTTGCAATTCTAGTTTCCTATTCACCAACTTTTACTCATATTCTCAATCAACCCATCACTTCACTATTTTCTTCACAATCCACTAATTCACCTAAACCCATCAATAATGTTGAGGCTGATGATGGAGGATTTGGAGGTACTTTTGATGATCTTTAATTTGGTCAAGAAGAAGAAGACGTCTATCACACCCCGAACCGTCAGAACGGACGGCGGAAACGTCCGGGGGCAGGTGATGTCTTGCGTAGTATCACAACAATTGTATCATAGCAATCAAAGTAAACACAACCATTACATTACAATATGAATATTTACATCTATATGGTAACATAGTTTGTATACATGAAAGTAGCAAAAGATAAAGCTCATAATCCAAATGCTCCGTCTTCTTTAAAAGCTAGTGAAGGTACCTGTCTACTGTTGACCTGAGAATACAAATAGTTTTGAAAACGTATCAGCATAAAGCTGGTGAGCTCATAAGCATGTTTTTGTATTGGAAACTAGTCACTGAATTTGTACAACTGATTTCTTTTCATTATATGTAATTATTGTTTGTATCGAAACCCTGATTATAACCAGTAAGTAAAGTATGTTTTGCTCCAAAACCTTGTCTACCGCCAGTAAGTAAGGTATGTTCTATCGAAAACCCTGCCTACCGCCAGTAAGTGAGATATGTTCTATCGAAAACCCTGGGTACCGCCAGTAAGTGAGATATGTTCCATCGAAAACCCTAGCTACCGCCAGTAAGTAAGGTAGTTTTATTTCTCAAAATAAAACCAACGGTTGTGTCCCTAAAATACCCTCCAGTAAGTAGATAGGTAGTTTTATTAATCTAAATAAAACTATTGAAGAAATAAATCTCGTAAACAAAGGTTAGTTTATACTTATTGTGAGTCGTATAACCATGCTAAATGACTGATGACCTCCTAGACATTTCTTCAGCCATCGTACAATTACAAAACTTGTCACCCCAAGCGTTCCTGCCAAACTGTAGCTAATAGTTTAGGTGTGGAATTGTCGGTCTCGAATAGATCTATTCACAAATTTCACGCTCTCCCTCCAAGAGACTCTAGTTATACTAAAGGTGAGGATTTACTGTTACCCGAAGAGCATAATGAAGATAGGTCTGACAATCCTATATTAACTAGTTTACGTGTAGTTTGGTTATTCTCGATTTCGAAATCGTTGGTAAACGATGTAGATTATAAATAATTATACACAAAATAATTATTTAGTAAGATACTCTTGTTATCGGTAGATAATAATACAAAAACTAAATCTATCATAGTTGATGTGTTTGAATCTGTAAAACCGGTAAATAATCCCTAAAACTATACCTATTATAGTTTGATTGGTATGTTATGTTCATGAATTATTCTGAAAACTATGCAATTATGTTTAGAAACCGTCCCTTATGCTCCACATATTAAAAAAGGGATAGAGTATCTAAATGTTTGATGTAAAACCATTATAATTGCATCAGTTTTTAAGTCGTGAGAAACTTAATGTTTGGCTTGTATTCCCCCTGAAAACGTTTTTAAAAACTATAAAAGCGTAGGGCTATGAGCTCACAGTTGGTTGGATGCAAAGGATTGAACTAGAGGATCCTTGAGTTGATGTACGTTGCACTTAACGGAATCCTAATATCAAATAAATACATATATGTATCTAAATTAATGATTTCGTTAGTTAAAGTGTTAGATAAACACTTGGTTTCGGTTAAGGAATGTTACCGGGTTTACGGATTTCCCCACAAAAGAGCTGTTTATGGCTGTATATAGAGTTTACGGCTGTGAATGGAGTTGATGGTCGTGAACAGGGTTTATGGATTTCGAAGATTTGGCGGATTATGGACATAAAATCAAAAACAAGAGTGTTGGTTTTCGACTAACAAGTTTTCTAGACGCTCCCAAACGGCCCCAAATGATGATTTCTGACATTTTTAGAGTGAAAGGAGGGCTTAATAGAGTTTACGGTCAATAGGTTTAGAGAGAGAAAGTGGGTGTTTGCAGCTAATAAGGTTGAAATGAGGGTGGGGGTCCTTTATTTATAGGAAAGCGGTATGGTCGGTGTTGGGGTCCACCTGGCACCGACGGTAAAAAGCGTTTATGGTCGTACACTAGTTTACGGCCGTAAACTCGCCTTGGCCGTGAACTCGTCGTTTTTCGAGGAGTTGAAGGTTTTTCGTGCGATTTTTGGTTTCCCGCCTCGTATGTAATTATAACAATAACCTTAGTTAATTTACTTAACCCAAGAAGTTGACGGAAAATAAAAAAAAAATTAAATTTTTTTAGTAGAGGTGGGTTTAAAAATAACGGAAGGAATTTCAGGTTGTCACAACATCCCATATCACATCTTGATGTCAGGGAAGAAATTCAAGATTCTAAACAAGAAGCTTAATTATATCCTTCGGTCTCTAGCAGATGCGGGGTGAAGGAATTTTGTATCTAGTCTTGAAGTTGATGTGTTGATCAAAGTACACGAAGCCAAATTGTTCAACATATTCTCTAGCCTGAGTCAAGCTTCTGAATCATAAATTATTAAGAAGGTGGATGGTAATGATAAGAATAATGAGCTCAGGATGAAATCATAGTCTTCAACTTTCTTAGAGGAAGTCAGAGATCTTAAAAGTATTTCCAAAGAACGTCATGTGTTATTCGTTCAAGATGTGAAGAAGGGTCAGGAGGATGTGAACTTGAAACTTCAAGAACATCGAGAAGACGTGACCAAAGAGATTGCTATTGCACAACAAGACTGTGCATCTCTTAATCAGAAAAAGGATATTATTGCTGATGTGGTAACGATGTTTGTTAAGTTTTATGAAGCATTGAGCCCTCAAATTTCTCAACTGTCTAAACATTAAAGTAAAAGCATCATTGAAATTACCACTTTGTTGAACGAGTTGAAAGAGTTAATATCAAAGCCTGGGTCATCTCCTTTGATCACTCCAGAATTTTTGTCACAAAAATTTCTTCTATTTGAATAAGTTCTTCACAAACAGTTGGCACCATTAACGAATGCCACAACTATTGTTACAGGGGTGCAAGGTGGAGAACAAGAAAAGGTTGGTAAAGGACAAGGTGCATCCGGTTTGATTAATGAAGAAGTTAAGGTTGTGCGCAAGGTGTACACTACACAGATTCCGGTATCAAAACCATTAGTATCGAAAGTTGAGCTAGTAATCTTAACTGCCGTATCAACAAGGCCAATAACAAAGGGTATTGTAATTGGTTCATCTAGTGAAGGAGGAAGTCAGTCAAAGCCAAAGGAAATTCATTTAATACAAGACAGTGGAAAGAAAATTTTCATTAAAAACCCCGAAGAAGAAAGAAAGGTTGAGATTGAGGCTGAAATGGATCTTCAAAGACAAATTGCAAGTGTTATCAGAGTACGACAAAATGACCCTCCGAATTTAAATAAGGGGTGTACAAGGAAGTTGCATAGTTATGAGAATATTGAAGCCAGGGTGTCTTTCTATGAGATGTATGAGTTCGAGAAAAATCCCATGCAAAGTTATTCAGTTGAGAATTCTGATCTAAATCAACTAGATCTAAATCAACAAGATTTTCCCATCAATGAAAGGTGGTGGAAAGATTTAAGAAGAAGGATGATTTTATACACATGAAATTAAGGTTTCATGCAGTTTTGGGAAAAGATCAGAACGATGTTTGGTCTTTGGTGAAGATTAAACAGGTTCTTGGCATTTCGAAAGGTGAACTTTTTTAGAATTTGGTACAAAACTTTCGTTATCATGGAGTAAGGGCTAATAAGGTCCGTATGAAGTTTTCCATTGTCGATTTCCCATTGATAAACTTGATAGACCTGTTTCAAGTTGCTTACATGCTCAAACACATTGATGCTTCGAAACTTCAAAATACCAGTAAAGAGGATCTATATTTGAGATTTGGTCATATCAAACTGTTTATAGATAATTACTATGATTGTCTAGACTTGACCGATGCTGAGTTGGCTGCTTTTGTTGGAAAAGAAATTACTGCTCCTCTTGAAAAAGTGTTTAGAAAAGCTCAATTGAAGAGATTTGCAGATGGTGAAATCAGTTTGAAGCCATTTGGAGTGGTTTTTGCTAGAAAAAGTAAGAAGGGAAAATCATCGAAATATTTTTTCCAAACATGTGAAGTTGAAAAATACACAACTGCACATTATAAAAACTTAATTGTTCGTATGAATAATTGTAAAAAGAACAATGACGGTGATAAAGCAGAACTGAAGAAGGTGATGAACTGGTAAGCTAAAATTCGAAGAACATGACAAATGGCAGGTCAACTTTTGATCAATTGATTTCGAGATTGCTTACAAACGGGGAGATTGTTAAGGTCGAAGTTAGGTTGTAAGATGTCGAAGTTGTAATGTTATTTTACAATAGCATTGTATGTCGAAACTAAATGTCTAGTCCTTTATAATTCTCTATATGCTTTACTTTTCTCCTATAAATAAGAGTGTTACTTAGAGTTAGATAAGAACCTGAAGTCTATCTTGTCTAATTTTCTCTCTGTAACCTTTGAAGCATAATACAAGCTAAAACTAGATCATATTTACATTTTGTGTTCTTAATTCATGTTACTCTGATGTACATTTCAATTCTCGATTCAATACTTCATTAATTTGATTGAAAAATCAAGAGGTGGGTCCATTATGTTTGACAATATTGTTACTTTGATTAAAAAAAACGTCAATAAATAATAAAATGGTAAAATCGTCAATTTCAAAAATCTATCAACCAAGTAGTAGTTGTAAGTTTAAAAAATATGAATTTGAGTAGTGAAAATGTAGGGTTAGAAGGGTATCAGGGTATTTTTTTAACAGAAATGATATGCTAGAAAGTTAACTTTAATTTGTTTAGGATAGGATGTCGAAATCCATCAGTCCAAGATTACTATGAATTCCAAGAGAATTCAATTCCAAAGTAATTTGCAACCACATCTGATTGAATTCCAATTCCAGAAAGAACATTGTTGAACAACTTTTGTTATTTGGTCAATTAGAAACAATAAAATGAATATTATAAACTTAAATATTAATAAAAAAAAAGTTGAAATTTGAAAGAAAACATTAAATTGAAAAATGACAAGTGTTTTATAAATAATAATAATTTTTTAATTAAATATGTAAATAAAAAACAATAAATATAACAATAAAGT